GGTGTCTCTATCCAAACAAGGAAGTAGGTCTTTGACTTGGTTTGGATGTTCTCAGGATGTGGGATGAACCCACAGTTGGTCCTCAAATAACTCTGGTCTACATGGTTGGTGGAATGAAGCTCACTGAGCATGCGGTGGGCAAAGGGCCTGTGGTCTTTGATATTAGCTATTATGGGGACATTTGCTCATTTTTATGCTTTAAACAGTGTTCTTGCTTATAGATAAGAGAGTGTATTTGTTTCTTCTTGATCTATCACAGTCACCGAGTGGCCTTGTCTGAGCTGCTGTTCTGTGAAATTGTTTACGTTTGACAGAACAGCAAGGCTTTGCTGCAAGGCCAGCTCCTGGCAACAGCAGAGCACCACCGATAGGGCCAACACATTTTTGGCCTGCCAGGGCTTGCTTTGTTTTCCTCAAACTGAAGCATGATAGCAAGAGCATAAAAGGACAACATCAATTTTAGGGAGGGAGTGAGGCCCACTAGGGGCAAAGGTATAGGGACGAGTGTGGTTTCTTGATGTTATTGAAAGTCAAGGGGAGCTACTTTCATGGAAGCTTTAATCAGCTATTTTACTGATTTTGAAGCCAGGAAATACACTCTTCTGCCAAAATGCTGGTGTGGCAGTTGATGGAGCAAGGAGCTAGGGAAAACATGACTTATTAGTCTCTGTATGTTACCAGATTTCTTCCTAATATATGACACCTAGTTGATTTTCTACTGTGTCTGGCGTCCCAGCATAGTACAGAGTAAAACAAGCAATGAATGCTAATGGCTAAGAAATTAGTTTTAGCATCAAGTTTCTTGGGTTTAAATTACTACTCCTCAATATACTACCTGTGTGATCTATAACAAATACTATTTTATGCCTGCATTATAGTATTTATAGTATAGTAATATTAATACGAATCACTTCATAGAGTTGATTTCAGAAATAATATAGCACTAACAGTGCTTAGAATTAAGGAATTAATGTCAGTTTATTGTTTCTCTGACATTTAATAATAAAAAAAATCTCTAATATCCATTATTCTTTTTAATTGATACTTCAAAGACTCAGAGAGAGAAAAGACAATATTTGAATCAAAAAACAAGAATAAAGAGCAAAACGTAAAAATAAACATAAGCCTCCAACAACATCCAGTATCAGGCACACAAGCTTCCCCCCCAACAGAAAGGCCAGTGAGGGCCATGGCTCCTTCAGGAAGACAGCTGTATTGGGTTCTCAGTTCCATCTGTGCACAAGTAGAGGCCAGGCTACAAGCAAGTGAAGGGCTGCATTATCCTCCTTCACCACAGAGTGATAACTTCAGTGTTTGGAAATCCTTAAAACTAAAATAATTACTCATAATTGTATTCAATTACAGCGCATGACTATAGATAATAATCTTGAATCTGCCCCTCATATTCAAATATAACAAACAGAAACAAATCTTGAGAATATCCCCAGAAGTGTCTGGTCAAATAGCAATTTATAACAGTCTAGTAAGTTATTTAACTATGAAAACATAAAAAAAAATGCTTGATGATTTGGTGGAAGAGAAAGCACAAATAGAATATGGTTTTGGCATGAATCGGAATTGTAAATATTTTGCCCATTAATACACTGAATTAAAAGCATTCAAAAGTAAAATTCAGATAAATGGAATGAGTAAGTGATGACACCTGGAAGAAAAAAAAAATTAAGTGAGAGAAAATATTCTTTGAGGAGAATCCGAGAAAGCATACTTGTCAGAGCCCAAACTTCAGGTGTGGATGCATTCTTTAACAGAGTGAATCATTCTGCGCACTTATTCAAGGACATATCCGAAATAGTCTATTATCCTGATTGAATGGCCTCAGAGCCACTGAGTTTCCAAGCTTACTGGTTTCAATCTTTTTCCTTTCCTGTGAAGGTCGTTGTAGGAAATTGTCTTAAATATACTGCATACAAATCCTGCCCCTCACACAAATGTTCAACATCTCTCTATTCTCTATTCTCATCACAGTGTATTGCTCCAACTAAAGTAGGTCAACATATCAGAATAAAATATATCAACATATCTTATAGTTTCCTATTTCTGCACAATACCCAGATCCTGGTCTGACAAAGAACTGAGCTTTCGAATTTCCTCCACTTGTGGCCTCCAGGCCCTGCTCTTCCTCCAGTGTTTGCTGCTCAGGAAATAATGTTTCCATCCTGCTGTTGTTCAGTCCACACACAGAAACATTATTCTTTAAAGGACAGCTGCAAATGGTGCTTTGAACCTGAAGTCACAGAATGTCGATCCCCTTCTCAACATTGTCCAGCAGATCTTCATTTCACTTAGAATAAGGTCCAGGTTTTTTGTGCAGGCATACAAAGCCCTACAGGAACCAACCCTTGGCTACTTCTCTGACTTCATCTCTGACTACACTTCAAATAACTCTCTAACCATGTTCCCTGCCTGCTATTTCTCAAACATACTTTAGAGCCTTTGTATTTGCCATTTCCCCTTCGGCCACAGGGATTGCCTCCTTGCTTAAATTTTATTCCTTGCAGAGAGCCCTTCCCCATTCACCCCATCTAAAATAGTACCTCCATTACTTTCTATATTTTTTTTGAATCCTTTAAATTCTAGCTGGAAACACTCAAAAGGTCAATGTGTGAATTTCCATGTTTTTACTTTGCAAGGGAACTCATGAAAAGTGCTTATTAATGTAAAGTATGCTGGTTAAATGTTCAGCAACCAGCTTCCTGAACCAGGAAAACAAAATTCTAGAGCTTGATATTGGGAAGAAATGATAATAATTGGTTGGAGATACAGTGAGTTAGCTCCAGTGTGAAAGCGGGCAATGACATTATTGGCCCATGGCTTCTCAGAGTTTACAGTGTTCTTTGTGGGAGGAGGAGCTAAACTATTGTCTCGAGAAATTCTTGAAATGTTGATGTCTTTGCTGTTGCAAAATAATCCAGCTTGCCTTGATCTGTACAAATATATTTGAGGATGGAGGGTTGGAGCATCAACCTGGCTTTAAGATTTCTGGTACTCAAGCAAATGTCATCATTATACAATTCACAAGCCTTGTGATAAAAACACACAGATTGCTCAGGAGAAGAATGTGTTTTTGCATATAGTACTAAAACCAGTGGTAGCTCTCCTGAAAAGCTTCAAGAGGATAATGCATAATGTAACAAAAGAATGATTATTACTTTAATAATTTAATAATTATTATTACCCTTTTCCAAAAATTGTTCTAAGCACTTTATCTTTGGGCATATTTCATTTTATTCACCAGTAAACTCTAGAGGGATATACTGTCTTGCCAATTTATTGTTATTCAACTATATTAAGATTGAAGATGATTAAGAATTTTCCCCACACAGCTAGCAAGGGGTTGTGGAATCTTCTTTTTAAAAATGTCTTTCCTGGGGCGCCTGGGTGGCTCAGTGGTTGAGCATCTGCCTTCAGCGCAGAGCATCATTCTGGAATCCTGGGATCGAGTCCCACATCAGGCTCCCTGCATGGAGCTTGCTTCTTTGTCTGCCTATGTCTTTGCCTCTCTCATGAATAAATAAATAAGATTTTTAAAAATGTCTTTCTTTTCTCCATATAAAATAGGAAACAAAATATATGCAACTTCCTTCTTGCTCAAGGGAAGGTAATATAAAATCAGAACCATAAATATCCCTTTACTCAAGGGTTCAGTATAAATTAATGAAAATATAAAACCAATCACTTAGACCTAAATACATTGTCTTTCAGACTATGTTTTATTTATTTATTTATATTTTTTTAATATTTTATTTATTTATTCATGAGAGACAGAGAGAGAGAGAGAGAGACAGGCAGAGACACAGGCAGAGGGAGAAGCAGGCTCCATGCCAGAAGCCCAATGTGGGACTCAATCGCAGGACTCAGATCACGCCCTGAGCCAAAGTCAGATGCTCAATCACTGAACCACCCAGGCATTCCATGGACTATATTTTAGAAAGCACTGCTCACTACTAGTAAGAGAAGTTAATGATACTGAATATTTATGACTCACATAAATTAGAATTAATTAATCAGAAGAAACAAATAGACAAAATCACCTATAGAGTCACCTATATGTTGACTCTATAGGCAACACATGCAAATATAAAAATTAGTGAAACATTTGGTTGTAGATTGTTGTTTGAAGCACCCAGTTATTTCTGTGGGTCCGAGACTACTGGTGTGTGCTAGCAAATTCTGACTCTCTGAACTCTCTTATGGCCAATGTTGGGGAACAAGTCATAAGAACTTATGGATCGCAAATTCTCAGGTGAAACAAACTTGCTAAAAGTATAGGGATTTAGGAGGTTTTTTGGCTTCATTAATAATAGACTAAAACAACCTGCCTTTCAACCTACCTTAAAATTTCTATACTTGGTGTTGGCTCTTTAGTGATATGGAAGCATATACTTGTTTTATAATGATAAAATTAAGAAAGAATGAAACAAAAATCTTTCTTCACTAAATTCCAATTATAAATCATGTGAAATTACTTTGGCATGTAGTAAACAGAGCTCACTCCAAAGCTTAGCAGTATTTGCTGCACAACTAATGAAGTCATAACAGAATTGATTCCAGTATATGGAAAAGAAAGACCGAGGTCAGACAACATCTTCCAATCAGGACTTCAACCCCAACTCTGACAGGAAAGTTCCAAAAGCTCCAATTCCAAATGTATCATTTGGAAGAAATTTCTTTGTAGTTTGTATAAGCTGGCTTTACACATGATTTAATGTTTTAGCATCTGCTTTATAGTTACTGAAGATCAAACATGAGGGCAAACACTTGAAAATTCACCCCAATTATAATTTGATTCAATGAAGAGTCCAAGGGAAGAAAAATAGCATTTTTTTTTTCTTCTCAGGCTGTTTGCTTTGAATTAAACTCTTGTTTGACAAAGCAAAGATGAAAAAAAAAAAGGGAGTTTAAAAAAAAAAAGACAAGATGGTGTCCTAATATTTTAGATAGAATTTGTCAAACAATTAACAGTTAAAAAGCATTCAATAGTGTTGACTTCAGCAGCACATTTCCTAAAATTGGAATGATACAGAGAAGATTAGCATGGCCCCACACAAGGATGACATGCAAATTTGTGAAAGATTTCATATTTTTTGAATGCACGTGGAACTCTCTCCAGAATAAATCACATTGGATCACGAATCAGGTCTCAGCTGATACCAAAAGACTGAGTTACCCCATTCTTATTTTCAGACCACAATGCTTTAAAGTTTGAAGTCAACCACAAGAAATAATTTGGAAGGACCACAAATACATGGAAGTTAAAGAGCATCCTACTAAAGAATGAATGGGTGAAACAGGAAACTAAAGAATAATTTTAAAAATACACAGAAGAAAATGAAAATGAAAACACAGCAGTTCAAGAGTTTTGGGATGCCACAAAGGCAGTCCTAAGAGGGAAGTACAGAGCAATACAGGCTTTTCTCAAGAAATAAGAAAAGTCTCAAATACACAACCTAACCTTATACCTAAAGGTATAAGGAGAGCTGGGAGAAGAACAGCAAACAAACCCAGCAGGAGAAGGGAATGAATAAAATTAGAGCAGAAGTCCATGATATAGAAAAAAAAAAAAAATAGAACAGATCAATGGAACTAGGAGCAAGTTCTTTGAAAGAATTAATGAGATCAATAGCCCCCTAACCAGATTTATCAAAAAGAAAAGAATAAGGACCAAAATAAATAAAGTCATGAATGAAAAAGGAGAGATAACAACCAAAAAATTATGATTTTGAGAGAATATTATGAACAATTATATGCCAACAAATCAGGCAATCTACAAGAAATGGATGCAGTCCTAGGAACATATAAACTACCCAAACTGAAACAGGAAGAAATAGATAACCTGAACAAACCCATAACCAGAAAAGAAATTGAATCAGTAATCAAAAATCTCCCAAAAAAACAAGAATCCAGGGCTAGATGACCTCCCAGCTGAATTCTACCAAACATGTAAAGAATTAATACCTCTTCTTCTGAAACTGTTTCAAAAAATAGAAATAGAAGGGAACTTTCCAATCTCAATTTATGAGGCCAGCATTACCTTGATCCCCTAAACCAAAGACCTCACTAAAAAGGAGAATTATAGACCAATGTCCCTGATGAACACAGATGCAAAAATTCTCACAAAGATACTAGCCAATAGGATCCAACAGTACATTAAAAGGATTATTTACCATGACCAAATAGGATTTATTCCTGGACTACAAAAGTGGTTCAACATCTACAAATCAACAAATGTGATATATCACATTAATAAATAAAGGACAAGAACCATATGATCCTCTCAACAGATGCAGAAAAAGCATTTGACAAAATACAGCATCTTTTTTAATTAAAACTCTCTGAAAAAAAAAATAAAATAAAACTCTCTGCCAGGTAGGGATAGAGAGTACATACCTGAATATCATAAAATCCATCTATGAAAAACCCACAGTGACTATCACCCTCAACAAGGAACGCTAAGAGCTTTTCCCCAAAGGTCAGGAACATGACAGGGATGCTCACTCCCACCACTGTTGGTCAACATAGTACTATAAGTCTTAGCCTCAGCAATCAGACAACAAAAAGGAATAAAAGACATCTAAACTGGCAAAGAAAAAAAAAATAAACTGTCAAAGAAGAGGTCAAACTTTCATTCTTTGCAAGCAAGATGATACTCTATGTAGAAAACCCAAAAGACTCCACCCCAAAATTGCTAGAATTCATACAAGGATTCAGCAAAGTGTATATAAAATCAATGCACAGAAGTTAGTTGTATTTCTACACACTAACAATGAGGCAGAAGAAAGAGAAATCAAGAATTAGTTTGGTGCAATTTGATAATTGCACCAAAAACCGTAAGATACCCAGGAATATATCTAATCAATGAGGTAAAGGATCCATGCTCTGAAAACTATAGAACATTTATGAAAGTAATCGAAGAAGACACAAAGAGATGGGAAAACATTCCATACTCATAGATTAGAAGAACAAATATTGCTAAAATGTCTATGTTACCCCCTCAAAAATCTACACATTCAATGCAATCCCTATCAGAATACCATGAACATTCTTCACAGAGCTAGAACAAACAGTCCTAAAATTTGTATGGAACCAGAAAAGACCCCAAATGGCCAAAGGAATATTGAAAAAAAAAAAAACACACACACACACAAAGCTGGGGGCATCACAATGCCAGATTTCAGGTTGTACTACAAAGCTGTGATCATCAAGACAGTGTGGTCCTGGCACAAAAACAGACACACAGATCAATGGAACAGAATAGAGAATCATAAGTGGACCCTCAATTCTTTGGTCAACTAATCTTTGAAAAAAGAAGAAAAGACTATCCAGTGCAAAAAAGGCAGTCCCTTCAACAAATGGTGTTGGGAAAATTGGACAGCCACATGCAGAATGAAACTGGACCATCCTCTTACACCATACACAAAAGTAAACTAAAAATGGATGAAAGACCTTAATGTGAGACAGGAATCCAACAAAATCCTAGAGGAGAACACAGGCAGCAGCCTCTTTGACCTTGGCTGCAGCAACTTCTTAGTAGACATGTCTCCAAAGGCAAGGGAAACAAAGGCAAAAATGAACTATTGGGACTTCATCAAGATAAAAACTTTTGCACAGCAAAGGAAACAGTTGACAAAACTAAAAGGCAACCTACAGAATGGGAGAAGATGTTTGCAAATGTCTTATCAGATAAAGGGCTAGTGTCCAAGATCTATGAAGAACTTACCAAACTGAACATCCAAAACACAAATAATCCAGTCAAGAAATGAGCAGAAGACATGAATACAGTTCTTCAAGGAAGACATCCAGATGGCCAACAGACACATGAAAATATGTTCCACATCACTCAGTATCAGGGAAATACAAATCAAAACCACAATGAGATATGATCTCATCGGTCAGAACGGTTAAAATTTAAAACTCAGGAAACAATAGATGCTGGCAAGAATGTGGAAAAGGGGAACTCTTTTGTGCTGTTCTTAGGAATGCAAGCTGGAACAGCCACTCTGGAGAACAGTCTGGAGGCTCCTCAAAAAGTTAAAAATATAACTTCCCTATGACCCAGCAATTGTAATAGTAGGTATTTTTCCAAGGATGCGAACATAGTGATCCGAAGGGGCTCCTGCACCCCAACATTTACAGCAGTGATGTCCACAACAGCTAAACTTTGGAAAGAGCCTAGATGTTCACTGACAGATGAATGGACAAAGGAGATGTGGTCTGTATATACAATGGAATATTACTCAACCATCAAAAGGAATGAAATCCTGCCATTTGCAAGGACAAGGATAGAACTAGAGGGTATTATGCTAAGTGAGATAAGTCAATCAGAGAAAAACAAATACCACATAATTTCACTCATAAGTGAAACTTAAGAAACAAAACAGATGAACATAGGGAAAGGGAAGGAAAAATAAAATAAGTTGGAAATAAATAGGGATGCAAACTATAAGAGATACTGAACTCTAGGAAAATACTGAGGGAAGTGGTTGGGGGGATGGGGTAATTGGGTGATGAGGATGAAGGAGGGCACTTGATGTGATGCACCCTGCGTGTTGTATAGAAGTGATGAATCACTAAATTCCGCCCCTGAAACTAATAATACAGTATATGTTAACTACATTTAATCTAAATAAAGAATGGGGGAGAAAAAGCATTCAACATTCACCATGCATGACACAAATAAATAACTGGTTTAAACATTCTTTATTTTGAGACTGGTATAGATTTTAGCCAGCTAAAGTTGTAAAATTCTACAGGGATGCGATCCATCTGATTCAATGCATCTATTCCCTAAACAGAGTACGTTGTATTGTCTTAATCTCTGTTCCACTGACTCTGCTGATATGTTTCTATACCGCTACCGCTTAATGACATTTTTAGACTTTATCAAAGACCCTGTAATGTGTCACTTTAGGCTCAGTACAATGAAGTACTGAGCAGCCCCTGGAGCTGCCTTTCCCAATATCCACTCCAGAGATAAGATTAAGTCAATCACCCTTGTGTATCCCCCCAACCCCCCTTGCCAGTGATTCATTAAGAGATATCAGGGAACCCATCGCTCTGCTCTCACACTCAAAGTAAATCTTAAATTATAAAAATTAATAGCACAATAAAGCTATCAAGTTAGTTCTGTCATGATCTTCCTTTTTAGAGGTTAATACCGTTTTTTACTCCCAAATGATAGGGGCAAGTGTCAAATCCATTGGACTTCATATTGAGTGACCTTGTCTCCTCTCCAGACCCTTGGTTTGTGCAGGTAGGAAGCCACCTGTTTCTTGTGAATGGGAAGGGAGTGAGGGTGTGTTTGTGTGCAATGGGATCTCAGGACGTGGAGGCACCTGTGTGTCCCACAGGCGGGGAGGCCGTGTTGGAGGCTGTCTCATCTTCTGCAGGCAGAGAACATGACACGCATTTAATTTCAGAGGGTGTCTTACTATCTATGTCCTCCTGTTCTAGGAAGGATGGAGTTCATTCAGGAAATGGTGTGCTGTCGCGCAGCGGGTCCAGATGGAAAGTCCCTGCTGAAGCAGTGGCTGCTGGAACATTCCACTGAAAGGAATGGACCTAGCTTGAGCTTCAGCTCTTCTGCTAACTGTACAGCCATGAACAAGTTAGTGTGTTTGGACCAGACTTCACCTCTAAAGAACACCAATGTGTAGATTTCAGTGACTGTCATGAAATGAGAACATTTGTAAACATGGGCAGCATGTGGCCAAGGGCTCGCTTGACCCGCTCCTCAAGCTGGGTTCCCTCCTCTATGGGGAGTTGGCCTGATGCTTGCCTCTCTTAGGGAACTTCTGTAGACTCTATTGATGCAGAACCACTGCAATGATATGAAACAGATTAAGAATGGCCACAAAGGGATCCCTGGGTGGCGCAGCGGTTTGACGCCTGCCTTTGGCCGAGGGCGCGATCCTGGAGACCTGGGATCGAATCTCACGTCAGGCTCCTGGTGCATGGAGCCTGCTTCTCCCTCTGCCTGTGTCTCTGCCTCTCTCTCTCTCTGTGTGTGTGTGACTATCGTAAAAAAAAAAAAAAAAAAAAAAAAAAAGAGTGGCCACAAATTCTCAGATGCTGCTTTCCTTGACAGT